CTTTTCTTTGGAACTAAAAGCATTCTGGTAGTCTTGGAGTCTGCACTGAATCTATCTGTACCATAAGAAGCCCTTAAGGGAATGCCCAAAGATCTCATGGGGGACATTAGATATGATGATAATGATGTTATGGAGAAAGGGTATCAATAACACTGAATTCTTCCTTGTCACCATGTGTTACACATTTGGCATCAACCACCATATAGACACATATAGGCATACATTGCCAGATCATATTAAAGGTAATGGAGTAAAAGAAATAAAGAGAGAAAAGTGGGGAGAATTAAAAATGAAGAGGTTTAATAAATCAGTTTGCAATGTCATCAGTTTTCTTTCCTGGTTGACACAGAAGGATATTTGGGGATTTTTTCATAATTAACTGCTTTATTCTTATTTCTGATTATACTGATGGTAACTTGTACTGCACAATTTATAGGTGAATTTTGAGATGAGGAATTATTATTATTATTTTTATTATTATTAAATTCTTTGCTATTTGGTGTATGTGTGTGTAAGTGAATGTTCAGCACTGCCAAACACAAGGATCAAGCAGCTAACTCACTGGAAACTATATGTTTAATGGACAAGAAACACATGACTGAATGGATGTTGGTTAAAACATATTGAGATTCCTGGCAATTGTGAATTTAATCCCTTGGTCTGTTAAAAGGGAAACCAAAGAATAAGACTTATACAAAATATCCCCTAAACATGGAAAGTGAAATTAGAATCTACCCCTATAGAATGAATAAAAGATTTGGTTCAAAATTTCAAGATGGTTACTTGAAAAAGGCTGGTAGTTACCCTGATTGAAACATAAATATGCTGAAAAGTAAAGCATATAAAGTTGTACTTCATGTGTTCATATGTATAGGTGCACTCAGACACAATTTTTGTCAAATAATTTAATAAAAAGAAAATTCAACTTAAACAAAAATAAATGTAAGTATTCTGGTTAAACTAATTAATAAACTTTAGTGTCAACAATGTTTCTCCAAGGCTATACTAAGCAGGTGGTATTTATTATCTGTTACTTTGAGAAGAGTCATAAACATCACAAATTTTGTTTGGACAATGGAAACCTTTCATCAATGTCACTGGCCAGATGACCATCACAAACATCTCCATTTTGTATATGAACACATTTTCAATTTGAACATCATTTATTAAGAAGAGGTCCGTCCTTGCTAATGTCCAATATAATAATTAAAATAGCTTATATGTAAAGATATTACAGATATGTCAAAAAGGTGTGTGTGTGTGTGTGTGTGTGTGTGTGTGTGTGTGTGTGTGTGTGTGTGTGAAGATGAGACAAAGTGGAAAATTTTATTAAAGATGGAGATTGTCCTTGTTTGTTTCATCTATATTTGTATTAGAGCTGTTTGGTATTGTAGGATTTTAATTCATAGATTTGTTTCTTTTTGTTTATATAAATATATGTCTTTATTTCTGAGATGAGGTATTATTTATCCACTATTTACACCATTGTCCTTGAGGATCTTTGTCGAATTTCTTATTATAAACCTTTGTCTTCAGCAACCATTTTTGCCAGTGCTCATATTGCAATTTTGCTGTTATCATTGCATGTTTTACCAGAGCTCATATTGCAATTTTGTTGTTATCATTGCTTTTCTCTGGCACCCCTTATTACTGGTTCCCATATTGTATTTATTTCTATGCTTGGTCGGCTCAGGAGATTTTTGTGGCCTAGCATATGTGCTGATTCCTTAAGTTTACGAATTTTCCAATGGTGTTCCCTGTCTATGATCTCGACATGATCCCACAGGGGGCGGTGATCTCCCTTCTCTCTCCATATGTGGTCAGCCACGCCTGATTTTTCTACTTCCCCTCACATTACAGCTTTCTGGTGTTCTTGAAGCCTTACCTTGAGGTAGCAGCCTGTCTCTCCTTTATATTCCTTTCCGCAGCTGCACAGGATAGCGTACACACAGTCTTTAGTCATGTTCTCCTCTATGGGGGGTCTCACTCGGGAGAGATATCTGCGAAGTGTCGTCAAGCTTTTGAAGGTTGTCCTGATGTTATATGGACTGCAGATTCTTTGTATTTTCTCTGATAACCCCTTCACATAAGGCAGGCAGACTGTTTTCTGAGTATTGTTGTCCTCCTCCTCTTGTACCCGCCTATCCCAGTTTTTTGGGGCTGCTGTCATGTACCCAGGGTGGTTGTTACGTTGTAGGGTACTACTTATACTGACCAATTCTTTATCTAACGTCTCTGGGTTGCTACTTATGACTTTTGCTTGGTGTTGTAAGCGACTGACAATCCCTTTCTTTATGCTGTATGGATGGTGGGAGTTGAAATTGAGGTACTGTCTGGTGAATGTCGGTTTACGGTATACGGATGTCTTAAACCCATGCTCTGTTCGAGATATTAGAACATCCAGGAATGGGAGTGTGTTGTTACTCTCTTTCTCCATTGTGAACTGTATTGAAGGTCTTATTGAGTTCACATGGTCCACTAGAACCTGAACATCTTCCTGGTGTGGCCAGAGTATGAAGGTGTCATCTACGTATCTTAACCATATAGTTGGCTTTAGAGATATAGATTCTAATGCTATTTCCTCAAAGTATTCCATGTATGTATTCGCCATTGCTGGTGATAATGGCGAGCCCATTGCTAAGCCCTCATCCTGTCAATATATGTGTGATCCCATTCTGAAGTGTGTTGTTTGTGTACAGAAAGTCAACATCTCCATCAGATTATCTATTGGAATACTGGTCCGTTCTTCTAGGGAAGAGTCAGAGGTCAATCTGTCTCTGACTACTGAGAGTGCCTCCTCCATGGGTACCTTGGTGAACAAACTCACCACATCCAAGCTCGCCATCTGGTTGGGAGCATCTTTGATTATTTCCACGAAGTGGGTGGAGTTTCGGACATATGAAGGAGACTTTCTGATCAATGGGCCAATTATATCTACAAGGAAGCGACTCAGAGGATGTCACACAGAGCCTTGGCAACTAACAATCGGCCTGAGTGGAATACCGTCTTTGTGAATCTTAGGGAGACCGTATATCTGAGGTAGCTTGTTGTAATGCTGCGATAACTGCCTATATGTCTTAGGTGTGAAGTGATCCTTGTTCTTGATTAGGATCTGTGACAGGTTGCATTCTGTTTTCATAGTAGGATTCTTTTTCACTTTGCTGTAGCTACCATTTCTAATGAAGTCTTCCAGTTTTCTTGTATAATCTAATTTTTCCATCACTACAGTCACATTACCTTTGTCAGCCGGTAGTATGATGATGTTTTCATTCCTCTGTAAGGATCCAGTCTCCAGCCTCTCCAGTTTTGTTATGTTAGACCTGGGCAGCTTGGCTCTCTCCAAGGTCTGCCTCACTTTCCATCTCAGTTCATCCGCCGGAGCCTGAGGGATGTTCAAGGCCACCTCCTCGACTCTGGTAATGATGTCCAAGTATGGCACCCGCCTGATGGTTGTGGCAAAGTTGAGACCCTTATTCAATACTGACTCCACAGAGGCACTCAGCTGATATTGGCTGATATTGATTACTGCTTTCACTGGTGGGTGATGGACCTTGTGCGTCACCTTCTGATCTTTCAATCTATTTAATTTTTGCACTTGGTGACCCTTAACTACATCAAATTCATGTCTGAAAGATTTATCCAGGTCATTTTGCATCCTTCTCTGGTCCTCATCATTAGTAATTCTGTTGAAGAATTCCTCGAGCATCCGGGAGATATGAGCTTGTAGTCAATGTTTTATCCAACGATTGTACTGGATTCTCTCTTGGACAAGGGCATGTCCCGCTTTCTCAGTGACACGACAAGCTCTCCTTGAATTGATGGGAAGCCAAGGAACACCATTGGAAAATTCGTAAACTTAAGGAATCAGCACATATGCTAGGCCACAAAAATCTCCTGAGCCGACCAAGCATAGAAATAAATACAATATGGGAACCAGTAATAAGGGGTGCCAGAGAAAAGCAATATAAAAAACAAAGTTGCAATATGAGCTCTGGTAAAACATGCAATGATAACAGCAAAATTGCAATATGAGCACTGGTAAAAGTGGTTGCTGAAGACATTAGGTTTATAATACCCAGAAATCCATACCCAGCTCATCAGTGTGTCTAGACATCCGGTTGCCTCTAGCTGGGATCGAAACCCGACTGAATTGGTGTCAGTCGGAGATTCTAACCATTAAGCCATCAGCGCATGGTAGGGATGAAGGTGGATTTTAGCGTATTTATTTTTAGAAACACGCCCAGTGACCGACAGTGACTCAATTCGCTTATGCAAATATGCTAATTTGGAAAAATATTTTCTACATTAATGTTTTAGTAAAAGAAAAATCAGGAAAGATTTTTTACAAAACATGAATTTAATGAAAACATGAGAATAGGAAAATGTTTTTGCTAAAACAAATACATTACATAATAAACATCTGAAAGATTTGAGTAAAGTAACTGTTTTTTGTAGATTTTGAAAAGACAATTCTATGTGGAATAAATTGCTTTCATATACCTTCATTAGTTTAAAGCTACACACAAAGCAGAAGCAAAAAGGTTTGTATGCCTATCATCAAGACATTATCTGCAAAACTTTTTGTAGAGTGCTGATTGCTTTTTCAGATTAGCATATTACTTGAATGCAATTCATATATTTTCATTTTCTGATTGTTAACTTGTTTCTAATTTCTATAGTATTTTCTTAAGCATATACACAATGTCTTCAGCTCATATCAAAGCAAAAAATACTGATACATTCAAATTAACAGGTTTCTCAGGAATTTTATAATAAAAATTGTGTCCTGTACAAACATTTAAGCATGTCTTCATTCTATTTTTTCATTATTTTCATCTAATTTGTATTTACCTTAGACCAAATTAAATCCATTTTATTCACCTTAGACCAAATTAAATCCATCTAAGTTAATGACCTGAGAAGCCATATTAATCTTACCATACTTTATGGTGGGCTTACTATAAATATTCTATGATTTGATAATGATTTCTTTATTTCAGAGCTTCCTTGGTTTGTGTTTGTTTACACTGGATCCAAGAAAAATGCTGGAACAAATGCCAATGTAAGCATGGTTGTTTATGGAGATAATGGCAAATCAGATCAGATCTCTTTGGCTAACAACAACTCCAACTTTAAGCAGGGTGCTACTGATGAGTTTAAAATAAATATGATTGACATTGGAATACCCTACAAGATCAGAATTTGGCATAATAATTCTGGCAGCTTCTCAGGATGGTTTCTAGAAAAGGTAGGTTTTATTATATTAATTTCAGTAATTTGTCTTTTTTTTGTTTCCAAGGTTATTTATGCTGTTTGTTTATTTTATTTGTTTTCTTTTTGTTTGAATAAATCTAAAAAGCAGAAATAAAATAAATAAAATCCAAAGAATCTGCAATGTTATTGGCTCTAGTCACTTTCTCTCTGCCACAATGTAGCTTCCCTGTGCCTTTTCTATAAATACTTCCATGATAATTGTTCTGATGAACTTTCCTCTATTGTATGTAGACATTATGAATATAAGGGCAGTACTAGATTGGCAGCAAGGTCTCCTCTTTTTACAGTTGTAATGGCTAGATGTAACCATAAGTTCTATGCTGACAGTTCCTTCTATTGCACTTCTTACTTGTGGAACTCTTCTGCCTTCATTGTTCAGCATAAAAATAAATAACATAACAAACTGCTTCAATCCTGGGGTTGACCACTCACTATTTGTAGATGATTTTATGATATGTTATTGCTCAAAATATATGCATACTATGGAGAGACAATTGCAACAATGTGTAAACAAAATAGACAAATGGATATCAAACGGTTTTAAAATCTCAAAACGAAAACAAAATGTGTCTACCTTTGCCAACAACATAAGCTACACAATAACTCAAAAGAAGACTAGAAGATACAGAGATACCAGTCGTTGAGGAATACAAGTTCCTAGGAATAACTTATGGCAAAAAAAGCCTTACACCCTTACATTAAAAACATAAGAATAAAATGTAACAAGGCTCTACAGCTTCTGTGTGTGGTGGCCAATACAGAATGGGGAGCTAGTCAACAAACATTACTGAAATTCTACAAAACATTAGTATTTTCCAAGTTGGATTATGGCTGCATGGTCTACAGATCAGCCAAGCAATCATATTTGAGAACATTGGATACAATACACCATGAGGGACTGAGACTTGCACTTGGGACCTTCCCTACTTCTCCAGTGGAGAGCCTGTATATGGAGGCTAATGAAGCACCACTGAAAGTGAGGAAAAACAAGTTAGTCACTCAATATTAGTTCAAATTGAAATCTTGTGATCTCAACCCTGCATATGACTGAACAATGGATCCAAAATCCAAACCACTAGTTAACCAGAACGAAAATAAAATAGATTTAAATGGATCAAATTATTGAGGAACCAAAGATCCCCTTGGAAAAAATATACAAAACAAAACAAATAATGATACCTCTATGGACTATAAAAAAAAAACAAATATAATAATGGGCCTAAGTGAACTTCCCAAAACAAAAACTCATCCCATTACCTATTTCAAGAAAATCTCCAGAATTAGAGAAAAACTCCCAAATCACTTAAGCATTTTCACTGATGGCTCTAAAAATACAGAAAGAATAGGTAGTGAAGCAGTACTTGACAAAACTGTTATCAGAAAATGATTATCAAATGATGCATCTACTTTCAGTGTGGAAGCTGGTGCCACATCATATTCGAAAGCAACCACCAAAAATTTATCATATTCTCAGACTCCTTATCAGTCTTAGTCTCCTTAAAAGAGAAAAAAACTAGAAAATCAATTGATCATAAAACTGCTAAATAGGATCAACACCTTGGAAAAAACAAAACACATAATATTCAACTGGATACCCAGTCACATTGGAAGGAGGGGACAGAACTGACCACCAATAAGAAATTCAAAATAACCTACACAGACATGAAACCCAAAATAAACAAATACATAAAAAAGAAATGGCAGCAATTATGGGAAATACATAAAGAAAATAAACTATTTAAAATAAAAACCATATTGGGAAAATGGACAATAAACAATAAAATAAACTGAAGAGAGGAGGTCGTCCTGAGTTGACTGCACATAGGACATACATGACTAACACATGGCCACATGCTTAAACACGAAGAACAACCAAAGTGTACATGTGGATCTATCCTGACAGTAAAAACATATTCTGAAAGAATGTAGAAGCATAACTCATATCAGGAAAAGATACTTCAAGGCAAGGAACCTAATGGAACTGTTTGAAAAAGTAAAAATCAGAAATATCATGGACTTCCTGAAAAGGATAGGACTATACAATAAATTATAAAATTAAAAAAAAATAAAAACCAGATTATCTCTACAAAGTATTTAAATAAAACACAACTTTGAAACACAACTCAACTTTGATAAGAATTAAATAAATAAAAAATAATAATTAAATAAATGGATCTGGCATAAAATGACCAATCAGAGGTTGACATGAAGTAAAACCCAACAAACTCCTTCAAATTCAGATCATTCATGAGTCTGTCAGGTAAAATAACAAAGCCCAAATAAGGTGCAAATGGAAGATTAATCTAAAATGAAGACAAGATGATAACTAGGGATATGAAATTTAATAGTTTTGTTAGGTTACTAATCAAATATTATATAATAATGACCTATTAGCAATTTTTTAAGATTTACTTTTTTATATTTTATGTTTTAATATTATTGATGAATAAACTTACAGATGTACCCATTGGGATAGATTTTGAAATCTTCATTAATCAAGGTTGCTAATGTTGATCTTAGATATACAGTTGATATGAAAGTTGATTAGTGAGTGATACTGATAAAGTGATTGATATTAGTATTCTCAATCCCTCTGGAATATAAGGTTATAATCTCACTCATTAGTTTTGCTGCTATGGTTTCTCTAGCAAGTAAGTTTTTTATTGGGTGAAATTGCCAGTCCCACAGCCAACTGGTTTTGAATTCAGTGATCCTTCTCCTAGAATGGTTGTCAACCAAGGCTAGAAACTCCAGCTTGCCCTGCTAATCCATAGCTGATTAAGTAATGAATAGAGCAAATTAATTTTTCATTTACATTGCTCGAACTGTTGTCCTCATCTTTATTGTCATATTCATGACATTTCAGCTGTCATACACTCCAGCCTTCTTCAGGTGATATATAGTGGAATTTCGAACTGTTCTCATTAGGGACAGATTGTTTAATTCTATATGTCATGCGTTTGGGTATCTCAATTTCAATTAATTCCCTCCAGTAACTCAAATCTCCAATTTCCCTCTGCTGTGGCCAAGTATTGAACTCACAACTCTATGAGTCAGGTCACTTTTGGATCACTCAACCATCCACTGGACCATGTGTCCTTATGTTTTCCTTGTTGGTGCCTTGACTGCATGAACACTAGACTGGCAACTAGATCTCACCATTTTACTGTTGAACTATTAGCTAATAGAACTTACGTTCTATTCTAATACTTTCTTTTTTTTTTGCACTTTTCACTTGTGATACTTTCTTTTTTTTTTGCATTTCTCACTTGTGATACTTTCTTCTTTTGCATCCCTTCCACCTCCAATCTTCAAAAAATGAAATGTAATGTCAATCGCCATCTTCTGTCTTCCTGGTTCCTGTTTTTTTATTGTTGGTGAAGTTAAAAATAGTTAATGTTTTACTATTTACATTATTTGGGCTATTGTCCTCATCTTCATCACCATAATTATCACAACATTTCGACCGTTGTACACTCTTCAGGTGGTTGGAATGTCAAACTGAACCCTTTATCCCCAAGGACACATGACACAATGGATAAAGGAATTAGTTAGATCCAGTGACAGGACACAAAGAGTGTGAGTTCAATACCTGGTTAAGGTGGTGGGGAAAATTAACAGAAGATAACTGATAACTGACATCCATTAAACATGGCACATGAAACTAGAACCGTCTACCCCAGTGAGTGAAATAAAAGGTTCAGTTCGACATTCCAACCACCTGAAGAAGGCCAGAGTGTACAACAGCCGAAATGTAATAAATATGGCGACAAAGATGAGGACAATAGTCCGAATAATGTAAATAGTGTACATAATACCTCATCTCAGAAATATAGACAGCTAGTTAATGTTTTTTCCTACCAAAATAAATTGTTCACTTCTGTTTACTAAACACAACCAATTTTTAACAATGTGAAATAAGCCATTCTACTCCACTGTAGTAGGGAGGAAAAGGCTTATCCCCACATTCTCCTCCACCTCAAAATATTTTGCTATAAATCCAAATAGGTGGGCCAGATCTTCTGAGAACTACATCTTCCACAGCAGTATCAGTAGGGTTTGGCATGCTCTGTGGAGTGTTACTGGACTTGATATGAGTGGCTTTGAAAGGTTTTTCCAGAAAAGCTAAATAATCTCCAACAGCTTCTACATGTATCTCTTGGAGTTCCTCATTAATAGGGTTCCTCATTAATAGAGGTCTCAACTGGGGTCTAAATATCTAGTAGATACTGTAGTCTCTTTGCTGTTTTGGTATCGAATATGTGTGTAATATGGATTTGCTTGACTACGTTCCACTTCTTCAACCAAAGGATCCGTCTTCTTCAGTCAAATATGACACTTCCGGAGAACAGATCCAGGGTTACATGACAACAAGGGCAGTGAATCTCTCTCATGTTGTGTCTTATTAATATCTGTTTGCAGTAATTAACAAATTGAATGCAAGGTATCATTTAAAATTTTTTCCAACATTGAATAGAGAGAGCATGTGATTTCAGTGCCATTGTAAGTGACCTTCCATTGAATCACTCCACCTGGACATAGCCTTAAGCATTATAACTTGTGCTTCTGCTACAGACAATTCCCTTATCAATTTAAAAACTTCTGCAATCCCTTGCTCATAAAAGGTGAGCCACTGTCCAGGTGGATGTAAGCAGGCATGCCAAAAATAGAGAGAGAGAACTAATAATGGTCAAATCAGTCATATCTGCATAAGAGAAAAAAAAAGGCAACCTCGAATATTCATCTGTAATATAAGAAAATAATGATTCTTATTTGCCCTAGGCAAAGGTCACTTAAAATCCATACTCAGTCACTCGAAAGGCTGAGTAACTTTTATTAGATGAGTATCTACAGGTTAGTGAAAGTTTGGCTTACACTTCACACATATTCTACAAGATTTAATTACTTATTGCACATCCTCCTCATGAATAGAACATATTCTTTACTTTCACAAAATGTTGTGTGCGTCTAACT